ATTATCCTGTTTAGGGCGCGAGTCCTCAGGGGGGGATTTTGCCAAATTTCAGACACAATTAAAATGCGAAACTTTGCGGGATGATGCATTTAGCCGCATAGCCCTCGAGGAGGGGAAAGGGGTCCTGAGGAAGAGTGGGACTCTCCCCCTTTCCTGGGGAATTTTGTCGAATTCAAGGTATTAGGTTGAAGAATAAGTTCCCGTCGTTTTAACGTAATTAAAATTTATTCCTCAATCTGATACAATCAAAACGTGAACTCTTTTCATGGGGTCATTCCGTGAAATTCTAGAAAGGATCGGAACTAAGCGTTTTCGCCAGGATGGCTCTGCTCGAGGACCCACACCCTGGAAGTACGATGCATAATCATGCCTTGGGGATCCTCTTTCAAAGGGACGGTTTTTCAAGGCGGATAAATGAAAACATTTCAGAATTTCATTAAATTTTCATGCGAAAATGTAGGGTTTTAAGAAGGCCGCCGTTTGCGCGGTATTAGAGGGGCGAGTAGTGAGCCGGTGTACGGGGTTATGGAAAATTCATAAAGTGCAAAGTACGGACGGTTCTCGACGTGCCCATAAGTGCGTTCCTTTGTGTACTTCTATCCTCGATAGAGGAAAGAGAACAAACGAGATCGGTGCGGGAAGAAAAGCGAAAGAGAGTCGAACTCGGGAAACGAACCGAAATTTCTTTGGCTCGATGAAATTTTTTTTCGGCGCATATGATAGATCCTTTCCGGATGATGGGACTTTCGTTTGAAATAAAAATTGCGCGGATGCTTTTTTTCAGGATTTATTTGATGAGGTACTTTTGTTCGGGAACGGCAGAAAAGGCATTCCGTGCTTCCTCGTTCCTCGTGGTCGGTGCGGGAAACGGCCGCGGGTACCTATGCCCGCTGCGGACCAGCTTTCCCCGTCGATAACGAAACTAGGCTAAAGTCGAATTAGCGTGAAATCCGTATTCCCGTTTTACTTCGTTAGACGGCGCCGCCGCAGGCAAGTTTGGGCGAAACGAAACTGCCCCCGTTGTTACGAACTCGCAATCGAATTCGGGACTCTGCTTTGCGGCGTGCCGTTTTACGTACACCGTCGAGCATGAACGCATTCCCTTCGGACGTGGACGTCGTATTTGAAAGAAATGCCGTCACGATTTACAGTGTCACTGTTCTGGGAAAGTAACAATACGTCGCATGTCGACATTTCTGTAACCGCGATTTTTGTAGAAATTTCTAAATCGTTCGGTGACTCCGTCGATCGCTGATCAGCGCTCTTCCGAGAAAGTCGAGCGTACGGTCGAGGTAAAGAAAAAGGAAGACTTTCGTGTTCAGAAAGCGAAGGAATACTTATGTAGATTTTCGAAGAGCTTCGGAAGGTTATTTCTTGCATCGTCCTGCCCTGTACTCGAATACTTTTTGGACAAGGACCCACTTTGGATTTATTACTCGGCGATAAATCTCGGTACCACCCGTAGGAGACCGTAATTTACTCGGCGCGAGCGTAGCTTCATTTATTTCTCTTCCCTCCGAGTTGCACGTGAAATCTCTGGCGTCCTCCGAAAAACTTTCCCGGGGATGTAGAAAAAACGAAGGAAATAAAATGCAAAGACGATTCGTCGGGTTAAAACGGAAGTTAAATGTAGGAGGGAAAGTAAGAAACGACTTTATTATCCACTCGCTATCGAGCAGGGGGTAAGGTGCAGGTGCAGCTGTCAATTTCGCACGTGTAACACCGTTTGCCCTGGTCTCGGACCCCGGTGCTAAATACGCATCGTGTGTACCGTGTGTATCGTGCATATCGGTCTAGTTTCAAAAACCGCGAAATTTGCATTTCCCTCGGAAAGAGCGCTCGCTCTCCCATACCTCGTTCGTGCCCTTCCGGGTCTATTTTCCTTTTTCCCATATCTGGCTTTTCCGAGGGAAATGCTGGGTTCGCGAAGTCTTTTTCTCTCGCCTCGTTTTAGGAATTCTAGTCGCGGAGTTGCGTCCCAACTCGGATGCTGACGAGGAAATCCGACTGGATTATTTATGACTTTGTCGCGCAGCATCCCGCGGCCATGATTACGGAAGATGACTAAGTCGTCGCCGCGGAGAATACGCGGAGTGCTTTCCAAAATGTAGAATGAAATATCAGAACACGTTACGATCGAAGCTTGAGCTGCTACACGGTATACGTAGGACGGCACATAGCCCCTCAAGAATAACCATTACGATTTGGAACCGGGGAGTTTTTAAAAAAAGTTTACTCGGGTGGACAGGTCTTGCTTCAACTTGGAAACGACTTCGATAAGTTTTCCCATTTTTCCGTTCTACTTGGCGATACTTAGTCGAGGCGAGCGGGACTTAGATCCTTGCCCTTAATTCCGAATTCAAAGATAAGTGACGCGAAGCTCCCGTCGTTCCGCTGGTGGCGGAGACGTCTCCGGAGAAGAACGACGTCTCGACGGCTCGTCCGACGCGAACTCGTGCCTCGGTTGGAGCCCGACTGACTGGGGAAGTCAAAACTACGAAACCATATTACTCGATGAATATTCAAGACGATTTTACCGCGGGAACTTTTCGCGGGTCCCGCCGTCGGCAACGACCACCCCGGCATTCTAATTAGAGCAAAAAGGAGCGAGTATGCAAATCGCAGCTGCGAGTATCCTCTGCGCCGCGCGTATCCGATCGCACCGAAAAACCGAGAGCGATCGTGGCCAACGGGCCTTTTTTGAGGGCACTCGAGAACGATCGGATTTATGGGAGGATGCGCCAAAATTGGAATCGAGGATAATCGGGGAGGATAAGTTAATAACGAATTATTCGAGAAATCGACGACGATGGCGCGCTCGCGAGACATCCTTCGCTTCTGCCATAAAATTCCGAGTCGAATGGTACCTTCGCGCCATTAGCGCACCTGTCTAACGCGGAATACCCAGCAATGGTGAATTCCTGCCGCTTGCGCCAGCTGGCGATAAAACGGTTGCGCAATGGGATTTTATTCGCACTTGATCAGCGCGTGCCGGCGCGCAAGGAGTGCGTACGTCGCCTCGAGCGAGTCGTCCGATTCGCTCAAGCGGTAGTTCGACTCCCGATCCGACTAAACGGAGAAGTCCAACCGGCTCAGACTTTCTCGGCTAACCGGTCCTCCTTTCGTTTAATACCGATTCTCGTTATCCTCCTCGTCGACGGGAAGATTTTATTCATTCGCGACGTCCTCGACGGAAAGTTGTTTTCCGCGTTTTCCGTCAATTCTAAGCAGTTCGATCCCGCACGTGCTATTTTACTTATGCATTGAAACGAACTTTTGTCCACCGAAAAAAAAAGGAAGTAAATTCTACTCATTTTCTGACTTAAATATGGAGGCTAATTTACTGATTTTTTTTTGCGTGGTTTCACGCGAGGAGCACGCATGGCTTACGCGTTACGAAGCCGAGTCGGAGTTTTTCTGGAAATTCTCGGATCTCTTGCGGACGCTTGACCGCATTCTGAAGGCAATTCATGGGGCGACGCGAAAGAGCTGCTCGCGAGGGAAGTCTTTTGAAACCGCGAGGAGGCAACTCGCTTTCCCGAGATTTACGCGTTACACTCGCCTTGAAACCGTTCCCGAAGACGCCCCACTTACTCTTGCTTACGTTCAGAAGTAAACAACCGAGAGAGCTCTCCGATTAGATCCGACGAAGGCCTCTATTTTTTGTCTCGTCTTCCTGAGTCTCCCAGAGATTAGCGACGAGCAACTAAACCGAGACAGTTTCTTTGGATTTACCCGAAAAGGTATTAAGACTGTCAGATAATAATTTGCTAGGAAAATGGTAAAGGTGCGGTTTCGGTACGATCGAGACGTTAATTGTTTGTTATCGGCAGAAATGACGTTATCGCGTGGTCGCCGAAAGTGCGAGTTCCTGGCGCACTTGTTGCGCGTCAAGAATCCGACTCTCGATCGCGCTCGCTCGACTGCGGAGAAGCCGCAGAAAGTGGGAAAGAGACGAGGCGTAATTGGCGAGAGAGATGTGGGAACTTTTGTTTCGGCCGGTTTTGCGCGAGGGCAATTTCCTCGGTGCGCTCCCCGATGCACTCGCGCTTCATACGTGGCGTTAATGCAGTCGTGTCCGAAGAGTAAGAGGAAGTGGTTGGCAACAAATATGTCGAGAGGAGGAAATTACTCGGGTACGCGAAACGGCCCCGTAATTATCGTTACTCGATAATTCGCATTAATCTGCATTTACACGATGGGACGTAATCGAAGCGCGCTCGAGTTTCCGAGGCGCAGGTTTTCCATCGGAAAGGGGAAGGACGAAGTAGGAGGAGGAGGCGGAATTCCGCAGCGGGAACAAAGCTGGAAACGCCGGGGAGCGCTGATACGACTCGGGACGGGAAATTGTCTAAACCGTCTGGAGCCACGACTCGCGAGCCTACCAGGCGGCAACTAATTACCCGCTTGTAATTGTCGAATTAATTTCACCCCTCACGAGACTCGGCTTTCCCGGCCGTTTCGGCCGTGAACCGCTCTCCTCCCGCAAAAGGAAACGCGCCTTTGTAATTTATTTATTTATTTTCCCCGAAACATGCGGCGCTCGCCGATTCGAATTACGAGTTGAAAAAGTCGATTCGCGGGCCGCGGGAAATTTACGCCGCGTGAATAAACCTGCGGGACGAACGACCGGATGCGGCATTATTTTCCGCCAGTCGACGACCCCGTCATCCATGAAATGCCCTATTCCATGCATTTTCCACGCCGCCGGGAACTTTTCCGGCAACTCTCGCGAAAACCCTTGACCGGTGCGGATCGATTCGTTGCGGATCCCTGGAATCGCCGATCGCCGGCATTTTTCTCGCCACCGTCGACTTCGCTTCCCGCAAGGATCGCGCAAAGTACCAAACTTCAACGGTGAGGCAACTTTTCGGTCGCACTCCTTTACGCGTCGATTTTTACTTCACTCCTTAATTTACTCCGAAGTATCCCTACGGACATCCTGGCCGATCCTACAAATTCGTGATCCAGAATGACCCTTTCGTATCTTCTACTTTCAGAGGGTGCAGTGGTCCAGCAGCGGGGCGCACCGGGAGCTGTGCTATCTGAAGGGGAGGAGCGAGGACGAGTGTCAAAATTACGTCCGCGTGTTCGGGCGACAAGGCCCGGACCGATTTCTCGCCTGCGGGACGAACGCTTACAAGCCGCTCTGCAGGCAGTTCACGATTAAGGTGAGTCCTAGGTTACGGCTAGAGCGTAACGATAGTTCGTAAGTAGGTGATTATGCAAATTTAACGCGCGGCTAGTTTCAAACTTTTATAGGCCCCGACCGTTCGCGGGCATTCCGCGTGCGGGGCTTTGCAACATCGACGAGAAGTCGATCGTCGGTCGGCGCTATTATGCACGGAGGAAAAAGTTTCGCGCCGCGTCGAGGAGACAAATCGCGAGCGGTTTTCCGCGGGATCTCGTTGGCCGACTCTTACGACCCGTACCGCACGTTGCTCAAAATCGCGCGACGGAATATCGTTTCCGGAGCTTATTTCCGCATCGGCGCCGCCGTAATCGCTTTTAATCGGCCAGTCTCTCGAGTCCATTGACCGTTGCAAAACTCGGGCCAAATCGGCGGCGGAATCGATGCCGATCGGCGGTCGGCTCGATTATCTCCGAAGGCGGGAAATAAAAGGGAGCAGGCCAACGAGAGGCGCTAATCCGCGATCGGGCTCAGTCCGGCGGAATCCCATTGTCGGCGATGTCGGGATCGCGCGTCAAACGGAAGCTCCATTGTTCGCCGCGTAATTCAGAGGCGCCAGAGGCGCCGCCATTCGTCGGCCTAGTATCGACGATATCGCCGATAACGCCGATATCGGCGGCCACTTTCGACCTCGTCTCGATGGTCCTCCATTCGGGTGCATCGAATAATTTGTAACCTCAACGCGTGATCGCGGAGGTCCTAATGAAAATCTTCAAACTGGCGAAATTTCGTTTTTTCGCGGTTTCGAAAGTCGACTCGCGCCGCCGCTCTTCGTCGTCGACTTTTCCGTCGTTGTCTTTTTGCCCTCGCCTCTAGCCTTCGCTTAATTACCCGTTAAAATGGAAAGGTGCAAGTGCGAACGGCCGCTTGAGAAATACCCCATTTAGCGCAGAAGGACACGTCGCCCGTAAAGTACGTCGGGCACGTAGGCAAGTTTTATCCTTTCCATGCATTCCTGATCGCGGGCCCTCCCTTTCTCGCCCCCTCGTCCATTGTAAATGTGCCCATAGAGGACCCATAAAAGTCCGCGATTCGAGGCCTTCGCGAAAGCCAATGCACCTCTGGAAAAATGCGAGGGATTTTCGATTGGAAATTATTATCTACTTTGCAGTATCTTCCTCTCCGATTTTGAACTCGGACGGGCGGGATTTCATCCCATCGAGCGGTGAATTTGTAAAATACTGTCAATACCCCTAAAGTGCCCGAAAGTTTTCCCCGCGCAGGATTAAGTCCGTCGAGCACATTTGGCACGAAAGTAAAGGTAATACCGAATCCGGGGGATTATTCCATTAACGTTCGCAAAGCTATCTCGCGGTAAATCCCCGTTTAAAAATCCAACGCTCGCCGGTAATATCGTTTTTATCTGGCCGACCGTGACCGCCTTTGGTGGTTTTCTTCTTCTTCCTATTTTTTTTTATTCCTCCGTCGTCGGGGGGAAAAAGGAAAAAATTGGAATTGCCTCCCGATGGATCGGACGAGCCTTTAACCGAGGTGCTTTAAAAGTCGATTAAGCAGTCCCGATTGAGCTCGACTCGGGCCAAGTAACCCCCAGAAATTCAGAGGGAGTCCGCAAATTGAAAGTCCCGGAAGAAATGCGCCCGTTCGCTTAATTGCCGCTGGCTTGTAATAGGTAACGAGATGAAATGGCCCTCGGTAATTTATCGGAACGTTACTCATGCCAGGAAGTGTATCCGCTCCATTTTCCCTCGGCCGAGCCCTCCTTCGAGCTATCTTTTTCACTTTACGACGCCGTAAGGCCCCGACTCGGCGAAAGGTACGTCGAGGGAATCGCGAATAATTTTAACTAGAGATTGAACGAGTGCCTCTGTGATTTCTGGTTAAAGGAGCTCGAGCTTGCCGAGGAAAATCGCTGGGCACCCTTCGACCCCTCTCGCATTTTTCCCGATCCTCGGAATCCGCTCTCAAAAGAAGCTTCCGGTTCGTGTTACCGGATACGCCTTGTTAAAGGATCTCTAGTTATCGCCAATGAAAAAGTCCGATCGATGCGACTGGAAAGTATTGAATATCGAAGGAATTCCCTTGGATTTATCAGAAAAGGTGTCGACGCGACCGCGCCTTCGACATCATTTTTCCCGACTCTCGAAATTCCGGCTTCCGCCTTTTCCTCGAATTTTTCTCGCCTCTCGAGATTCTGACTTCCGCACTTTGCTGGAATTTTCCTCGCTCCCGCCGTTTGCCAAATGGGTCCTTCGATGGTGGATCCAGAAACGAGGAGACTAATTTTTCGGTCCATTCGTCGCGGATCCTCCTTAACGGAGTCCGCGGAAGTACCGGCGGCTCTTCCGGCAGTTCCGCCCTCGTTTCCGTGTCTCTTCGTTATTTTAACGGTGCCTCATGAGATCTCATAAAGCCGACCTAGGACCGGGGCCGGATCTATGGAGGGCAGTTTCTCAGTCCATTAGTCGAAGGAGTAGGTCATTTTGAGAAATCGTCGGATTCCTCCTCTTTTCGCCGGATCTCTTCGCTTGCGAACGTACGTGTTTTTTAGCTTTAACCGTGCTCGCCGTCAAAAGCTGTTTCACGCGGAAGTTGTTCGGGGTAATACGCCGGGCAACTTTCGCTCGGGACACTTTTGCATACTGCATCTCGTTACGATAGAAATATGCATGCGAACGTTTCGAAGGGAAGCCAGTCCCGCTCGGGGCGCGAGCGCCGTTATCGACCGGTCAAGTTGAGCTGAATTCGCCGGATTCGAAGCACCGAAACTCGAAAACCGATGAACGGGCCTCGAAAAAAAAATTCATTTACCGCCGAGGAGCGATTTCCACCGATGTTAAATTTGCATTCGAGACCGTCTATCACCCATTTTCCCCGGAATTATTTCTGGAAACGTTCTCGAGATCGAAGTTCGCGTCTCGACGGAAACGCTACACCGAGAAAAAAAAAAGGAATCGATCCGCGGTCCGTTTCGTAATTTGGAAAATAGGATCAACTGCATCGATTCGATTCTCTCGATGGGACACTCGAGGCCTTTGATGTATCTAACGAATGTACGTCTCGTTAACGTATCAACGAGAGGGCGTGAAAAACATAACGACCTCATCGATCGGGACCGGAAACGTCGGTTTGCTTTAATTATTTCGCTAAATTTGTTTCCGCGACTATTCCGAGCCTGATTGACGTTATCGATGGGCCGTCCATTTCCGGGCTTCCGAATAACAGAGGAGGACGTGATTTAGCGTTTCGTTCGATTCATTATCCGTTAAGAGGGATGCAAAACGAGTAACGATCACGTCGAGGATACGAGTCGCTGCGTTTTCGGTCGTTGTCGATTAATAACCCCTTTGGATAAATTCCGGATCGACGATGAGGTCGATACGATTTATTGATTCCTTGGAACTTCTGATGCGTTTTCGAGTCTTGCGTTGGAATCGCCAATCGGGGTCTCTAATTCCTCCCCCTCGGAGAAAGACGCATCGGCGATCGATGTCTGGCGGAAAGTTTGCGGAACTCGTCCAGAGGCTTTCCCGCGGACTTTCCGTTCGCTGTCCCCGGAGGGGGGGGCGGAGTTCGGGAAATATCTTCCGGCTGTCAGCGGCGGCCGTTCCGACCCGGGTCGCGGACAAAAACGGAGGAAAAGGGGGAAAGCAAGGAGAAATAAAGAAGAAAGTAAATCGCGAAAGCCTCGCCGTTGCGTGCTCGGGGGCGATCCATAACGGCGACGGCCGACTCGAGTTAACGGCTCGGTCGAAAACGAAAAGGCTCGTTAGTCGTAAGAATCAATCTCTCGGCCGGCCCGTCGCGAGCCGGCGAGCCTTGGAGCCGGTGAATGCACCGTGAATGCACGGTGAATGCACCGTGAATGCCCCGTGAATGCGGAGTCCGCGGCGATCGACCGGCCTGCGCTGCGCCGACTTCGTGCACACCGTTGCAGTTGCTCGTATGCAAATACGACGCCGAGGAGAATGAAAATGGTTACTCCCTGGAAAGGCGGCCGAACGGCAGATTTTCGTCGGGCTGGTTCAGCGGCCCGGTAGTTAGCTGCCGTGTAAAAAATACCCCTCGCCGCGCCGGAGTCTAACATCGATCGGTGCACGGTGCATGGATGCAAGCCTTTACTTACGGCCAAGGGTTCCTACCGTGGGAAAAAAACCTTTTTCCCTTCGCCTACATTTTTCGACTGGAACCTACTTTTTTTATTTGTCTAATGTATCTTTTCGCGGTATCGAGGTATTGGTATATACGAGCGGAATCGGGGGAAGAAAAATAGACGTCGCATGGCGCGGGGTATCCGGCGAGCGATGCAGGACCGACCGTTATGCACCGGCTAGGTGCATCGTCCGTTAGGCCGCGCGAACGAGGACGTCCTTCCTTTGCTAGGTGCATCGTAAGGTGCACTCTGCCGACCGTGGCTAGCTCTCCCCGCAAACGGACGATCGAGCGAAAAAGACACCGGGGCGCGAGAAAAAATAATTGCGTCGTCAGCGTAATCAACCGCTCCTGGTGGATCTCTTGCAGCCTTAGATGGCGCATCGACGCTCGTTTTAATGCACTTCGAACGGTAAACGGCGCTCGTTCCCAAGGTTTATCGTTTCGTTAAGAACAATCCGCGACCGTTTCCTCGTTTCCTCGACGAGCGTGAAATATCGCGCGTCCCGTTTCTAGCGACGTTAAAAGTGGAAATGTCGTTTTTTTCCCGAAACGATGCGGGGAGATGCATGGACCGCGCGGGATGCTGCGCCGCGATGGAAAGGCCGGAATCCTCGTCTCGACGCTCGCGAGTGAGTCATGCGCGCCGGCGGCCCGGTCAATGAGCGATCGACTATCGGGACGATCGATCGATTTACTTCGGCCTAATCGGCTCCGTGAATCGGCCGAGCTCGGGCATTAAATCATTTCGAAATCTCCGAGGGGCTACCACCGCGCCACCGGGTTAATAAAGCGATAATCGGCGCTTAATTGCGCCGAGCTCGACGCACGCGCCGCACGAGTTCTCGATTTCGGAAAAATCTAAAGTGG